GTCCAACGTGCTCAGTCAAACTACCAAAGGTGCGAAGTTCATACTGTTGCGAGGATGGACAGCTCTGGCGTTACCGATCAGTCATATCGTTTGACAAGATGCCGCATGCGGTCCATGTGCTATTTACTTAGTTGTTTGAGATATAAACAAGATCTCGGACAACCACCTATGAAAGCGACTTCGCTAATTCCATTGTAAAAGGAATGTTTAGATGAGAATGTGATTATCTTGGCAGTTTGAACGCAAACTTGCTTAATTTTGTGTTGTATTTGGTGTTCCCGTATGCAAGGGGAGAATACTAAAGTAAACTGGCAGTTAGGCCGAAATTTGCCAATCCGTTAGAGACAGAAAGATTCAATCCAAAAACATTAATCGCTGGTAACGAGGTTGTAGTCGAAACCTACTTAAAATTACTTGTCGAAACTCGAGTTGTTGACTCGAAAATTACGAAAGGGCAAAACGTTTTATATAAGCATGAATATGAGGACCACTCTCTTGAAAACGACAAAAAGCGCCAGCCACACAATTTAGCATGACCGCTCCACTCGGAGTTGCTGTTAGCGTTACACTTCCTCTCGGTGATGTGTCAGAACCCCACAAGTCAAAGAGACTCACCTTATGTCCAAACTCTTATTGTCAATCCGCTATTTTATGATCCGCATAATTGCGATAGTTGTGTCTTTGCTTACTTTCTCGATAGCAATTTTGTAGATTAAATGTGAAAGAAATCTTCTATCTCATCCTAGTGCAGCAAGACCCCTTTTCTTGGGACTGATTGGCGGAGGTTACAATCGCGATTGTAATCGCATACCTTTACCCTAATAGCAAAAATCGTTCAATCGTAACTCGATTTTATCGTTGTTTTTCGTTGACTATCGTTGTCCTGCTTCTGAGAACTTGATTGGTTGACAGACGACTCGATCACGCGTTGCTAAGTTACTGCAGTACTTCTCGCACAGGTATCGGAAAATCGATAGCGTTGTGCGATAAGCGGCCGGTGCACCGGTGGGCCCATCCTTTGGTGCATTTTCACGCTGGCAAGCGGTCGCAAGACTGTGTCTACGTTGCTGTTGGCCAGAATTGTGTACATTTTGTTTCTGAAGCTCTTTTTCAGCATGTTCACGCCTGTTTCGAGGACAACCCGATA